GAAATATTAAAAACACGATGTATCTCGCTGCATTGCGCGAGTACTCTTCTAGTTTTATGAAGCGTATCACAATGTACATCATGTGTCGATATGGTGTTCGTTGGAGAGAGGAGAAATCTAGAATGATTAAAATGCCCTTAATTAATATTTTTTAGTTAAAATTACCAAAATTATTAATTTCTTAATTTAAACTTTGATTTGTGGTTGAGATTGGATCTTACGACTACCACAAACTAATCAGCTCTTCCTTGAATGAACATTTCTCTCTCTCTCTCTCTCTCTCTCTCTCTATATATATATATATATATGTGTGTGTGTGTGTGTAAATTTTTTTGTTAACCAATTAAAATATGTTAACTTTATAAACTTCAATGAACTAATAAGAAACAAGATACATTTTTAGTTGATGCACATAATAAATTTATCTAATGAGGGTAAAACTGTAATTTTTTATTTGATTTTTCTTTTAATGCAAATTAATTTTCGGTTACATTTCTTAATTATTCCATTTCTTGCCATTGTGAATATCTCATGCAAATTAATTGTCGATTACATTTCTTAATTATTCCAAGTAAATTAGCTGTCGGTTACATTTCTTAATTATACCTGAGTAAATACTTGTTCATAGATGAACCATCTAATTTTAACATTTAAAAAAGTATTGTGTTCATATGTGAACCTGATAACCACATACACGTAACAAAAACTAGGTATGTAGAAATTACCAATTATTTAAAAAAATTGAATAGTGTTTGTAAATACAATTAATGTTTGTTCATAGGTGAACCATATATCATTCTACATTTATTTCATACATACATGTATATATATATATATATATATGTATGTATATATATGTATGTATGTATGGATGGAAGTGGCAGTGAAAATTAATATTCTCGTCCACGTGGTTTCTTCGAATACTTTCATAAGATGACATGCCATGCATTTGGGAATGAGTCATCTTATACGTGCCTTTATATAAATTGTCTACATGCATGGTATGACTTGAGAATATGTGATATCAATAATTTTTTTAGACTCCTATCAATTCTTAATCCTTAGATTAAATTTACAATCTAAATATTCATAATCATAAAATTATTACGGAATTTTTCAATAATCATAAAATTGCCACTGTGTAATTTTAGATCATTGGCTTATAAAGTTGATCAATATATGGACATATATTGGTCTTACGAGTCTTACGAAAAATCTTTGATTTTACGTGAACTCAACCCTGCATGGTATAGAATAACAACTTTATATATATATTCTAGGTTTAATTATTTGATAACTTGTTATGTTCGTATATATAATCTTCAAAATGAGATTCATAGTAAACTTTATCCCATATTGAAAGAATACTATATCTTAATATATATATTTTAATTTAAAATTATCAAAATTATAAAATTTTTAATTTATTTATTGATTTATGGTTGAGATTAGATCTCACGGTTATCACAAACTAGTCAGTTCTTTTTTGAATTCATCTATAATATATATATATATATATATATATATATATATTATATGTGAATTCATCGGTGAACCTAATATATGGTGTTAACTTTGTGAATCTATCTCACCATTGAGCTTTGAAATTTATGGTTGAAATCATGTATGTCATAAAATTTAATTAATTGGACATAGAAGCAAGTTAACATAAGTGAACAATGTTTATAAAAGGTATTTTGGAAAATATTTTAATGATATGAGATTCAACTTGTTCACTCTTGAACACATGCTTAAATTCATATAAGTGTCATATCAACAAGCTTTTATGAACATGCTTATGTCAATTAATGTTTGAAACACTCTTCATGAGTGAACAAATATTCATGGTTCATTGTTCTTGATAAATGTATTCATAATTCACCAATAAATATTAATGGAGATAATAAGCTACGGTTCATCAATGAACACCTCAATGAACAATGATGTGGTTTGAGTCCATACTGGACATTAAATCATTACGTTAACAATTAACAAATGATTTATTTATGCAAGTTTAGTGATACACAATTTACATCTATAAACATATAATATGAGATGAGGGGATGCTCATCGTCCAAGCTTTGGGAGATGATGGGGGTTCATTGCCCAAGCTTTGACCA